TCATTTTTTTATCATTTCACTCCAAGCAAGGCAATAAAGCCACTACGACCCAACCGGGTTACCGAGTTTTAGAGACTATAAGAAAAATTACTATTAAAGAACGAAAACAATAAAACTTCAAGAATTAAGAAGACAGAAGATAACGATTGATATTGCGTTTAAATATTTAAAGATCAAAGTTGACTGGGAAGCAAGAAGACAAAAGTGTGCCAGAGAAGAAACTTATGGTTACATCTATCTTTTTAAACTTTAAAATGATGAGACCTTGCCGCCATTTTAATCAGTCAGTCAGCTAAGTACAATACGTGATATTTCGATTCCGACTTAACAGAAGATTTTCCCGTAGTAGTTTACCGTTTCTTTCTCCAGGAGAATGGTTGCCAACCAAGACTATGGCAACCAGTCAGGAACCTTGCCTCTAATCTAGTAATATGCTAGTATTCATAAAGTCTAAGTACCAAAGGGGAAAGCTCATCTGAACTGAACAATTGCCATGGAAATATTTATATAAAACGCAAATGGAAACTATGTTACGGCGGTGAGAAAGTGAATGACATCTCGGTTAACGTCAATTTATCAACCGTTTGAAGGTGATTTAAAGAAAGAAAATATTTTTAAATTGTTTATTTGGTTTATTTTGTTTTACAGCATATCAACCTCAATGGGTTATTAAATGCCGACAAAATTTTTTATTACTGGTAATATTTTGTGTTGTCAAAAATCTGTTTCTGGTAATATTTTTCCTTCAAAATTGTATTGCTGGTCATTATTTTTTTTCAAAAAGTATGGCTGGTAATAACTAACTATTTGCCAATAGCTGGGACCCTAACAGGTGCTACCACCCCGGGTCCGGGTGGACCTGGGAACACCAGCAATTAAGAGGTGGTTCCACGCTCCTCAAAACCTCCTGATCAGAGGCCTTGCTGCTGGACGTAGTTTATCGTCTTACCCAGGACGCGGATGTAGTTTAACGTCCTACCCAGGACGGTTTAAATTCTATTTAATTTTTCGGAGATAATATTGATTACTGATGCAAGTTCTACTAAATAACCTGTAGCTGTGGGGAGAAAATGTGGATTCATGCCTTTCTCAAGTCTATTTGTGCGTAAGAGGAACCCGATAAGACAACGATGCCACTAAGACGCAAGGGGTTGCTAAGTGTGAGAGAATATGAGAAGAAAAAAAAAGCATTATTAACAAGAGAGAACAATAAAAGAAGAATAGGAGAAAAAGAATTAAGATGACTTAAGATAACGATTAATATTGCGTTTAAATATTTAAAGATCAAAGTTGACTGGGAAACAAGCAGATAAAAGAATGAGAGAGAAGAAACTTATGGTTACATCTATCTTTTTAAACTTTAAAATGATGACACCTTGCCGCCATTTTAATCAGTCAGGCAGTTAAGTACAATAAGTGATCTTTCGATTCCTGACAGACTAAGCAAGAAGCTGGAAGAGAAAAAAACATGATATTAAAACATTTAAGTATCATTAAAACCTTTAAAGTCGTTGGATCTATAAACACACCAGGCTCTACACCGACATCGATTCATTTTTTTATCATTTCACTCCAAGCAAGGCAATAAAGCCACTACGACCCAACCGGGTTACCGAGTTTTAGAGACTATAAGAAAAATTACTATTAAAGAACGAAAACAATAAAACTTCAAGAATTAAGAAGACAGAAGATAACGATTGATATTGCGTTTAAATATTTAAATATCAAAGTTGACTGGGAAACAAGTAGATAAAAGAGTGAGAGAGAAGAAACTTATGGTTACATCCATCTTTTTAAACTTTAAAATGATGAGACCTTGCCGCCATTTTTATCAGTCAGGCAGTTAAGTACAATACGTGATATTTCGATTCCTGACAAATTAAGAAAGAAGCCGGAAGAGAATAATATTTATTTTGAAAAAGCAAAAATATGGTACAAGGCTATAAGAGTGGGAGTGAGAAGGCTGGTTTTCAATCTGCCTTATCTTAAACTTAGTTAGCCACAATTACAGACCCAAATATACCACCGTATTCCTTATACCAAAACAACATATTCTTACTTATATTTCTTATTACAGCCACGATAAACTGTTCTTTTATTGTCTTTTTTTAATCTCCTCGCTAACGGCTTTCACTCCAATAATTCGCTAAAACCCTTGCGACTTAGTAGTATTATCGCCTTTCTTAGGGGAAACGATAAAAAAAACTCTGGATTTTGAGAGGAACACCGCCTACTGATTAAGACTAAATCTGATAGATATACGCATGAAAGATCTGCAAAGATACAGAACAGCTTGATAATGGCAAGCCAGAAAGTAAAAACGAATGAAATGAAAAACTGAAAAAAAAAGAAATTGGCAGGAATGTACCCGCCATCTGGGAATATATACTTTTTTTTAATCATTTCATCCCAAGCAAGGCAATAAAGCCACTAAGACGCAACTGGTTACTGAGGGTGGGAGAATATGAGAAAATGAAAACATTATTAAAGAGTGAGAACAATAACAGAACAGGAATAGACACGAATGAATAAACGATTAACAATTTTTTAAAGTTCAAAGTTGACCGGAAAGTAAGAAGCTGGAAGAGAGTTCCACAATTGAAAATGCCAGAGAGGAAACTCTTGGCATAGAACTTACGGTTACCTCGAGACATTTCAACTACAGAAATGATGATACCTTACAGCTAATTTAGTAGTACGCTTAAATTCGTAAAATCTGGTTACCACCAAGGAAAACTCACCAAAAGAATTAACATGAAATTATTTATTGAAAAAGTCACTTTAGCACCGTCGTAGCTACGTCACGACGTTGCTAAAGTGACTGACACCTAAATGCTGTGTCAGAATATTACATATTCTTTGTATTTTATCAAGCATCTCTAAATACATGGCAGACGCGCCAGACCAAATGTGGTAGCAATATTCAATAGCATGGATGAATATTAGACTTATAGATATGCAAGATAGATTCTAAAGAGGACAGTACAGTGAACTAGCCTTTCTAACAACAGAGCTAGGAATTGATCTAATATTGTTGTAACCTAGACAAAGTTACTGAATGACGAATAACCAAAACGGAAGTTGGAAATGAAATGGTAATATTTATGACATCAACAAAATACAATACTCGCCAGCGGCGTGAAGTAGGTAAACCACTGCTGGTGGTGGACTACTTAGTATATTACGATATTTACCTGCCTCTCCACGAGGTAGGATGCGGCACAAGGTCAAATTTAAGATTAGGAAATCCGAGCCCTTGGACCCGGGCAAAAATTACCCATAGATTCCGCATACGCGGGATCGGGTATCTGTCTACCTCTCCGGACGAGAGACTGCCCTTCGGCATAGCCAATTCCGGGTTCTTATCTAACCAAAGGCAGAGAGTTCGACACGGCAAGAGCTTCCCACGCTGACAGCTCACGCTGACAGCATAGACAGCAAATTACCCCCCCCCGACCCACTTACCATAGTGTCCAATGTATTTATGAGTATTGGGACATACCCATTAGTGTTCATAGATACGGTATATAACAAATATAATCTTTCCACTTCATATAGAAAAATGTTAGATTAAGGAGGCCCATCAGCCATCCTGTTGGAAGGTAAAAAAAAAAAAAAGTTCTCTCAGAAGATTAAAAGAGAACAAGTTTGTTTTGGAGGCGTTAGTCTTCAAATGTGAGCTTACCAAATCGACAAAACTTACCAATTCGTTATCTATGCTGGTGACAACTATTTGTTCTTGCCTTAAGGGTAAGTTTTGTTGATAGGATAGGGCTGTAAATTCACTTCAAAGTCCGGCTGATATTAAAGCAACTGTTCTTTAATCTGCGCCCAGTTAAAACAATGGTCAGCTAAAGTATGGACGCCAAGACCTGACATTAGGCAGAGCTACTAAAATATAGTCACACCATTAAGATACTGTCACTTACGATTGAACATGCTGAGTAAAAATATTTATTAATAATCATGAATTTGATATGGTAGATGTATAAAGTTTATAAAATCAGTGCAGACTTTTGTAGCTATTATTTTTTATTATCTTTTTTGTTAACAGTATCAATATTAATTTAACCAGTGATGAAGATGACGCAATATAGAAGTCATACCATATATACATGAATATTTTATTGCTTAAAACAACCTGAAAAAAAGTACCAGCAACAACAACATTACATGCGATACAACGACCACACTATATGACATGCAAGAGATTGATCATATGAGCACAGCTCACGTTTTCAGAAAAAGAAGATGTAAAATGCTCAATAACCTTTTAAGAAAATACCTCTTTTAACTCAGATCTGAATTAAAGAATTTGGTTGATTGAATGATTCGTTTTTGCGTCTTATCAATCCTTTTTTCAGATTCTAAGAATTTTTTTTTTAATATAATAATGGTTTAGTGATACAAGTCTTACTAATTAACCCATAGCTAGGGGGAGAAGAGTATTTAAGCGTAAGTGAACATAACGAACCCAACGGTAATTTAAACTCGACTTTCCGATTACAATTCCAAGCCATTATTCATTACACACTTGGTATTCCCCACGCGGTACTGACTAGGCTCGACATTGCTTAACTACGGTGATCATACGGAGACCAATGTTTCAACGTGATATGGCCGTAAAGTTAAAGGACTTAGTAAAGGCTTGTATGATAAAAGGAAAACTACATATGATAATTTTATGATCATCATCAGTCTCCTACTCCTACTCCACCTGCACCTCCTCTTCCTCCTCATCTCCTTCTCCTCTTCATCATCGTCATCATCATCATGCCGGGTATCATAGTGGGTATATTAGCCTTTGTATATTTGTACCCTAGTGTAAGTGTGTTGGTGCTCTACTCATGTACGGAATAATAATAATAATAATAATAATAATAATAATAATAATAATAATAATAAGAAGAAGAAGAAGAAGAAGAAGAAGAAGAAGAAGAAGAAGAAGAAGAAGAATTTCAAAGTTAAGCACTTACTTAAATACAGTTCCTGCCCACGGCTTACGGCCACATCACATTGAAACATCGGTCCCCGTACGATCAGCGAAGTTAAGCAACGTCGAGCCTGATCACCACCTAGATGGGTGACCGCTTGGGACTACCACGTGCTGTAAAATTGGATTTTCAGGTGGTGTAATGGATAATGGCTCGGAATTGTTAATAAGAGAATCGAGTTCCAAATCCAGTTGGGTTCGTTAGATACCTTGGGAAAGTTATGGATCCACCAGTTATAGGTTAATTAATAAGTCTCGTATGCCTAAACAATTGTTATCTCCAAAAAAAAAATTCTTACAATCTAAAAATATTTTGAGGCTTTAAATCACCTGCAAAGGGTTGACAACCTGTAGAAAATGTGTCACTAAAACCATTATTATCACCAAAAATAAAATAAAATCGAGTACAAAATATTTACATTTCGGCATTAAATAACCCATAGAGGTGTTGATATGCAGCTAAACAAAAACCGCCAACCAACATGTTACTGCCATAATAGAATAATAAATTGAAAGCGTGCCAAAAAATATTGGGATCCAGACTGGATGAGTTGAAACTAATAAACTCTAGATATGATGGGGTCAGCAAAGATATTCAGAAGGTGGCGAATATTTTAGGGAACTAACTTTCACCCAATGATCAATGCCTAGGAGCTAAAATAATAATAATAATAATAATAAAAGTAATAATAATAATAATAACGTCAAGGTTAATGAAAGCAAATACATCAAGAATATCTGTTAAAACCATTGTTAAAGTTGGAGATCACCTTTCCAGCCGAGCACGGCATAAAAGTGGGAGTTTCAAAAAGCTAGATAAATAGAAGGATGCTGCCAGATAACTAAAACTGTTTTGGTTATATGACGACAAGCGTACCCGTAATTCTAGGATCACTTGGAACGGGCCCATGCCAAAAGAAATGGAAAAATTGGAAATGTGGGAACAAATCAAAAATGTCCAGTGAACAGCATTATTGAAACGCCTGAATAGTTTGTGTTAAGGAAACTTGTTGTCACTTGATCTCCACTGAGACAGTTCCCACCCACCCCCAGCCACCGATACTACTGGTGCGAAAACAGAATATGAAATATTAATTGTAAACTTACAAAAATCGACATATTAACCGTGGAAGGAGGGGGGGGGGTGAAAAAACCTGTTGGCACTTGACCTCCATTTTGAGCCGCTTGATACGACAAGTGAGAAAATCCATCTAATAATGTCAATAAAGGTTACTATGGAAAGTGCTGGAATAATAATGTGTCTTGCTGTCACTTGATCTCCATTGTAATCTATCCGATATAGAAAAAAAAAGGTGAAAATTGGTATAATAATGATAGTATATAATGCTAAGGTGGGTGCTGGAATATTAAAGGGACTTACTGTCATTGCACCCCCCCTCCGAAACTATTAGGCATTATAAGACTGGAAATCAATAATAATTTTATAGAAAACAAAGATTGCATATTAAAGTCAATTATCATTTCTAATTCCAAACATGTACTAAAAGAGGCATTCATATCACAAAATAGAAACGTATTGCCAATAAAAGACATTGTTTTAATATATAAATCAGTTCCTAAGATTAATTGCTTTGTCAACAGTTTTCTCTTTTAACATATCTTAAATAGTTTTTTTTTATTATTATTATTATTTAAAAATATCCAAACAACGAACAAGAATACGAATAGTAACGATTACATGAGAAAACAATTCCTGGGATGAATGATACAGAAAGACAAATAAATAACTGATACTTACAGTCAGGTGAGTCCCATAGAAATCAATATCGTCCATTTATTTGTTGGCATTTCGAATATATATTCTTGTGTTCTTTTTTATTATTCTCAGTTTCAAGTACTTAAAAAGTTTTAATCTCCAGTAGATTTGAATAAGGATAAAAAAAAAAAAAAAAATGAACTCCCTCCTTTCACACGAATTGTTTTGATAAAAGATACTGCTTTACTTTCACTTTCGCTTCAGCGAGGAAAAGTGCGTCGATTTTGAAATTGCTTTTAAAACAATGTCTCGATATAACGGGACTGTGAACACTTTTATTAGTGTTGCCGTATCTGTTCTCTTTCTACAGAAACGATTAAATGAAAGATAGAGGCGGCATTTTTACAGAGGAAAACGAACTGCGTGCCAAACTGCAAATAATGTTATCAGAGACAGTGGGTAGGAAAGATGGAAGGAATGAATGGAAAGATGGAGGAAGGGAGAAACGAAAAACTTTAAGAAGATAGCTGACAAATGACTTGCAGAAGCACGAATGAATGAATGAATGAATGATGGAACAAAACAACGAACGAATGAGAAGCGATAAAAGAAAGTAAAGAAAAGAAGGAGAAAAAGACAAAGAAAAAGGGTTTCCTTTATATAAGAAAATTACATATTAAATTTTAAGATAGAAATATCGGTAGATTTTTTTACATTTCATTTGGACATAATTATATATATATATATATATATATATATATATATATATATATATATATATATATATATATATATATATATATATAAATATATATATATATATATATATAAATATATATATATCTGACCACTCGTATTCGAGGATACCCGTTTACTAGCCAATCCCTATTGTAGATGTTTGCTCAGGCACATTTGTCTTTGCTCAACACCCACAGACCCTACCTGGGATTTATAGTATAACTAGGCTGAGCAAACCTTAGAGTTTCTGGTAGATAATGTGTTATCTAGCGTTATCAACAATTTGAACAAGGCCAGCACGCTCAATACCTCAGCCACAATGACTTGTGAATCCGTGCTAGCACAGCTATCGATGGCTCTCAAGAGCTCCGTCTACCCAATTTCACTCACAAGGCTTGGATCAACCCGTGGTATGGTTTTCAGGCACTTTCCAAAGTTGTCACACGCTGGAATATATATATATATATATATATATATATATATATATATATATATATATATATATAACTGTTTTGACAAAAAATATTTCAAGTTTTTTTTACTTGAATAAGGTTATCATATAAATTGCAATTTTTACATTCTTTTTTACTAATATTTGTTGCAATATTTATATTTACCAATATATATATGTGTGTATGTGTGTGTGCGGATAAAAAGAGACAAGATGAAAAACTATACTTAGCCGACACGTCTCTGATGGACTTTATCAAGGCAATGTGAGATAGATAGATAGATAGATAGATAGATAGATAGATAATGTATGAATATAAATACAAATGTATATTTAAAGAATTCTCATACATTATATATACAGAGTGATCCGAAAGTCTTGTCACCCGCTAGCTAAAATTAATGAGAACAATAGCATAAGTAATACATTAAAACAAAGCACATGTACTGGATTCAATTTATTCACTTTCTTTGACGCTGTCACACCGTACAAGCTCGTGTCATAAACTGTAGGAGCTCGTGTCAGCTATCTGAAATAGAAACATTATTAGTATTATTTTAAATTAAAAGTAACTTCTTACTCTGACTCTCTCTCTCTCTCTCTCTCTCTCAGTAAATACTGGCAGAGCAATAGACAGTGTGGTCTGAAAGTCTTGTCCTTAACAAAAAAGTAATGAGAACAATACAAAGCACGTGTACTGTAATCAATTTATTTATTTCTATTGACGATGTCGCACAGCGAACTTTGGATAAACACTGTCATTTTCCTATGAGCCATCTGATATAGAAAATTATATTATACTAGCGGTGACAAGACTTTCGGAGCACCCCGTATGTTATTGCATGTTTCTACATGCGAACGTGTTTAATGTGAATGGCTGATATATATATATATATATATATATATATATATATATATATATATATATATATATATATATCATTATTTATTTAAAATATGATTCCAAATCGCGACATAAGAAGTCCCATGTTTCAAAACAAAGAGCCGCAAACTTTAATATAATTATTTAAATTAAATTGAGTTAAAATAAGCTCTGTTCCATCTTCAAGGGAAATTTATTTTGGAATAACGTGTTTCTGAAATTTATTAGCTATCTGAATTTTTGTATACACGTATATACACGCATACATATATATATATAATATATATATATATATATATATATATATATATATATATATACGTATATATATATATATATATGCATGTATATATATATATATATATATATATATATATATATACTTATATGTATGCGTGTATATACGTGTATACAAAAATTCAGATAGCTAATGAAAATAATCAGTAATTTTTGTTGAATGATTTGTTTTTTACGGCTTATCAACCCTTTGTGGGTTATTTAAAACTGAAAGATATATTTCAGATTTTAAGAATTTATATATATCAGAGTCTGTCTATATTTCTGAGATGAGGTATTATGTACATTATTTACATTATTCGGACTAATGTCCTCATCTTTGTCGCCATATTTATCACAACGTTTCGGCCGTTGTTCGCTCCGGCCTTCTTCAGGTGGTTGGAATTTCAAACTGAACCCTTTATTCCGCTCACTGGGGTAGACTGTTCTAGTTCCACGTGCCATGTTTAATGGATGTCAGTTATCAGTTATCTCCTGTTAATTTCACCCTGAAAGTTCTCCACTGTCTTAACCGGGTATTGAAGTCACACTCTTTGGGTCCTGTCACTAGATCTTACCAACGCCTTTACCCACTGTGCCATGTGTCCTTGAGGGTTCAGTTCGAAATTCCAACCACCTGAAGAAACGTTGTGATAAATATGGTGACAAAGATGAGGATATATATATATATATATATATATATATATATATATATATATATATATATATATATATTATATAATGATATATATATATTAATAATATATATATACATATATATGCATATATATATATATATATATATATATATATATGTAATGTTAATAATATTATAAATATATATATATATAATGTATGTATCTATTGTGTTAATTTAGGCAGGAGTATTCTGTTTATGCAAGGCTGGTTAACAACTAACGAAATATAAAACTAAATTAAAAATTCTTAAGAAAAAAGTTTCGCCTGTTCTTTAACAACTGACACATACACCCGCACATACATCTATACGTATATGTATGTGCTCTCTATATATGTGTATGTTTGTGTGTGTGTTT